ACTTCTGTGAAGAGCCTTACGCTTCGCTGTGCGACTCCGCTTTGGCTTAAGAAAAAGACCGAGCTGTGTGCTCTGTTTTTTCACACCCTGCGCGAAGCTTCACGGGAGGCGGCGGCTTACTGATGACCCCGCCAATAAGCCTTGAAACAGTCGGGCACCTCCTCAGCTCCGCTGCTGGGCCGCCGTGCCGCAACCCAGAGCCTCCCCCTGCAAGCGAGGGCCACTAGGGTAGAAGTAGGGAGCGGCGGGGTGCCCAAAAGGTGCCTAAAAGGTGCCGAATCTGGTTTGCGACGGGGTGCCTAAAAGGTGCCTAAAAGGTTGCGGAATCTGGTTTGCGACGGGGTGCCTAAAAGGTGCCTAATCTGGTTTGCGACGGGGTGCCCCAAAGGTGCCTAAAAGTTGCCTAAAAGGTGCCGAATCTGGCTTGCGACAGGAGGTGCGACAAGAGGCGCAAAGCACACTCTCTCTGAGCCGGTGAGGCCTACGAGGTAGATTTGCGATCCTCCCTGCGGTGTTGTGGGGTGGGTTGGGAACTTCTACCAGAAATGCATCGTACTGCAGTTTCGACCTTCGCAGGAGCACCGCCCCGGCGAGTTCTAGGCATCGCAAACTGCGAGGGAGGAAGTCGAACAGAGTGCGCGAAGCGAGCTCGCGGACACGGACTTCCGATTACGAGCACGAGGGTCGAAACTGCACGACGATGCATTTCTAGGCCGGTGAGGCCTACGAGGTTCTTCTCGAATCTTAGATATGGCATCCTCCCTGCTGTGTCGTGGGGTGGGTTGGGGACTTCTACCAGAGAGAGGTTTATAGCCACTTAAAGTGGCGCAAAACTGCTTTCACAAATTGTGTCCCTTTTTGAAAGATTTTGACACTTAAGTTTTCCATGGTGTTTTCACGTGCATGACACATGTGGTTTTCCTTGACAGCTCGTGTGGACGTTGATGCGCTCATTAGATCTTCTTCAGAAGCTGTGACGGCTTAGCACAGCCGAAGAAATTTTCCCATCCTGGTGCCCCTGTTGTTCGTTGAAGAGCGTTGACCATCGTCTGTCGGATATGCATGCGGATTAGCTGATTACCCCCGCTCCGAAGTCGTTGAAGAAAACGTTGCGCATTGGGCCATACGAAACATATTGGACTGGCCTAAGAGCCAGATCGTTTTGTTGAATTATATATTCTCCTTCGAAGTTGTCAATCAAACATTCCGCAGTTGTGTAAATCTAAGACGATATTCAGATAATGATTTGCAACATGTGAGTTTGATTTACACGCCATCTCGGTGCATGCTGATTCTGGGACAAAGAATAAGCACGTGGTTCCTTATCCACAGCTTCAGTGGGAAGCACGTGGTTCATTGTTTTGGAGATGTACAGTGTGACAGAACGTGAGAGAGCAGGCAAAGGTTCACGGACGATGCTGCTGAACTGCGGAGGCAGATTTGGCCGAGTTCGGACCTTTCGTGCCTGAGAAAGTGAAGGCATTGGGCAGGCTGCTAGCAGATCTTTTCGCAGTTTGAGTACAGGATGCACCGAGTATGTCTGAACCCTAAAACCCAGATGCTCAACCCTAAACCGTGTCTCTTGGCACACAGCGGCTTAAAACGGGACTCGAATTTGGAGAACTACCCACGTCATGGTAAATTCCAAGACGTCTGGCCTCCCGAACGTGATGAATCTGGGAAATCATGCCCGTCCTTCCAAGCGTTGAAACTCGCTAACGTCTTGTTCAGGCCGACGATTGCGTCCGCAGTTCAAAGAATTTCGTGTAACAGGATCCGTGTTCATGGAGCACCCGCTGGCAGAGATCCTCGCCGGTTCGGTTGGCTCAATGTATCATTGGTGCTTGTTCAGTTTGGAGCCGCAGCCGTGCGTCACAGTGATACCCTGTTCTAAGATCCGTTCATGTGGAACTTGGTTGAAAGAGTCAAGCCAGTCAGGTAAACATGTACTTAAATGCATTGTCTTCGCCCTGAGCCTTAAATACAAAAACCCTTAACCCCTTTAGTCGGCGCATGGCTTGCCAGCTCATGGCTTGGCCGTTTGACATCCAACTACGTACGGCCGCTGCCCAGGCCTCATTGCTTGGTGTTGCAGGATCGCAGTGCCCCTGATGAAGTAGGGCCAAGTAGGGGAATGTGAAGTGGACTCCTTGGGAACAGGAACATTCGCGAGTAGAGAGTTCTGGTGTCATTCAGGCATGAGAGTTGTTGGGCGGACCGTGGCTCCCAAACCCAAAGCCGTAGCTCTCTTGAAGCAGGGTTTAGGATGTGGGGGGCTGAGGGGTGTTGTTGGACCTTCAACGCTCAAGATTTCCGGTTGATCTGATGCTGAAGCCGCGACAGCTAAAAGACCAAAGCCCCACACTCCCAACATGAGTCTTGTGCAAAAACACATTCAAAACCGTTACACGCAACCTGAAGAAAACTCCATGCAAATCACGAGAAGACCCTTATCAACCCTCACGCCCTTAGCACATCCTTAGAGTCCTTGACCCAGATAAATCCTACAACCGAAATCCCTATGCATGATACACCGCCTAGCGACCCGAGCCCACGCCGTCCCTGGTCTTTTTTTTGCGAGCTGTGGGACTTAGTGCGGTGCCCTGCTTCTGCCAGCCAAGTTTCCGACGCACCGGCTTACAGAAGCACCGGCGCAGCAAAGCCCAATCGGTCATCACTCGGGGTACTGAAATGCAGACAAAGCGATGAAAATAATGGGAGCTCCAGATCAACCTACTTCAAGGGTGCACGGTTTCCGGTAGATGCTTCGGGTGTAGGGGAGACTTTTTGCAATGTAGGTTTTATGCAGGGGTCTATGGTCGGCAGGTTTGGTTGCGCAGCTTTGCGAAAATTTCTATCCAAGTCTGTGTCTTTAGATGCTGTCAGATTGTGCGAAGCTCTTCGGGTCACGTAGTTGCCGAGCTGCTGGGGTCAGAGAGTAGTGCGCCATGGAGTGCCTGGCAGCGGCTTGCAAATGCACCTTGCTCAGCTTCCGGTCGTGAGGGAGAGGCAACCAAGATCTGGCTTGATGCGACCTCCATAACCCTAAACTACCCTAAGCTCTAAACCTTAAAACCTTAAACCCTAAACCCTAAACCCTAGTACCTTGAACGATAAACCCTAAAACTGAAAAACCCTAAACCCAAAACCCCCTAAAGTCTAAATCCTTGGCTCCAAGGGCTATGCCAACCCGCCCCAGCGCCAGCGAGGCCAGGGGCGAGGCCAGGGCAAGTGCTGCGGACACATGTGTCGCACAAAGGGGTCTACACCCTAAACCCTATAGACCCTATACCCTCAATCCTACACCCGAAAGCCCTACACCCGAAAGCCCTGTTACCTATGAAACCCATGTGATCAGGTCTGAGGCCTCCGATGTCGCGGACGAGGAGGTCGACGAACTGGAGTTCGGCCCTTTCCAGGCCTGGGGTTTAGGGTTCAGGGGTACGTGTGATCGCATGAGTTTGGGGTTTTGCAAGGTTTAGGGTTTGAGGGTTTGGGGTTTAGGGTTTAGGGTTTAGGACGTAGGGTTTAGGGGGGATGTTTGACAAAACTGTGGGGGCCTTACAAAATAGAAAAGGGTTCTACAAGCGTTCTATCTTACAGCTTTGGGAGAGGGCTTCCGTTCCGTTAAGGGTTTTGGAAGGGATCTATAAGGGTTCTATAATTTTTTGGGGCCTATTCTTTCTTTAGTTGGGGTTGGGGTACATTATGGCATGACTAGAACAGTAAAGCTTAAGGAGGAGTCTAGCTAATTATTCAGGCTTCCAAACGAGACCAGCAACCAACAGCCGACGACTAGACCGCAGCCACCAACTACTACGCGGCCACTCAGGGCTAGCATCAACCAAGTATCATTCCTCTTTGCAGTCGCTCCACCCCTCTCCCCACAGCCCGGATTAACAACGACCCACAGCCTGAACGTATGTGGACCGTAAACCTCCGACCTCCCCCCTGCTCCAAAGATGGCAACATGCGCGGATGCTCCTGGAAGCTCACCGAGTCCTGAAGACCAGGCAGATCCAGGGGTTTTGAGTGTTAGGCTTAAGCCACCGATCTTATGCTCCCATATAAAGCCTTAAGCCCTAAATCCTAAACCCTAATTCCTAAACCCTAAATCCTAAACCCTAAACCCTGAATCCCAAACCTTATTTCCTAAGCCTTAAAAGCCAGAGCTTTAGTTTTCAGGGGCAGCAGGTTCGGGAAGCTTAAAGTTCAGGGCTCACCCCGAAAGCGTGAACCCTGACGTCTCGAGGATTCAGGGTTTAGGCTTTTGGGTTTAGAGTTTAGGGTTCAGGGTTTAGAGTTAGGGCAAGATTGAAGAAGCAAGTTGAGCTGTGAATGGCAGCTTCGGAAAGTAGGTAACCCCAAGATAGAGTTAAGTGGTAGGATCCTTATTAAAAGGGTTTCCAAATGCACTTTAGGTTACCCCTAGAGTCATCAAGGGATGGGAAAACAGGTTCGCCGAATTTTGAGAACCCATGTAGCCATACAGATATCCCATGAAATAAACACCGAAGTAAGCTATCCCGAAGCTTAGCAACCCTCACTGCTTCGCTGCACTGCCGAGTTTGGCAGCCCCAATTCGAACCCAATCGGCTCGATGGGTTTGTGCAACATTCGGGGGTCCCTTCTTTCAGGTTTTGTAGGGTTTGAGTGGGTTTTTCATGGCTATGACAAGCTTCTTAAGTCAAAAAAAACTCCCATGCTGAGCCCTCGAGCCTCTCCTAGGTGCAGAATGCTTCTAATTGTTGGGTTTAAAGTTTAGGGTCTAGGGTTTAGGTAGTCGAGCCAGCATCCTGTCATTATCTTTTTATGTATTGCTCTCCTGTCGCTGGTATACTCGTAACAAGCTGGATTCTACCGCAAGGATAGTGGGCTATGATTCAAGCGACCGTAAGCCCTAAACTCTAAACCCTAAAACCCTAAACCCTAAACCCTAAACCCTAAACCCTAAGCTCTAAAGGTGACCATTGAGGCTCTCAATTTGTGGTCCCCTCTTCTCGTAGAGGCTCGCATGAAGCGCGCTTAGAAGATCAGGAATCCTTGGTAAGAGCTGCAGTAGTAGGATCCTGGTTGCCTCGATCATCAAAAAGCAGCCTTAACTTAAGCAAGCCTTTACTAGCTGGCACTGTGGGAAACTTAAAAATTTCCCTTATGGTTCTTATGGTGGTACCTATTCATGTGGTGCTTGTAAGGGCCCCACAACTACAACCCAGTTTATCACCAAATACAGTGGTATTATGTTTCTTCATGCAGACCCTAAACCCTAGACCCTAAACCCTAAACCCTAAACCCTAAACCCTAAACCCTAAACCTTACGTCTAAGATTCCCACCGAGCCTTAAAGCTAAGCTCTGAGACGTTTGCCTTCCGAGCGAAGGGCTGACGCTTTAGGGGTTCGGGTTTAGGGCATTGGGGTTTAGGGTTTAGGGTTTAGGGTTTAGGGTTTAGGGTTCAGGGCATTGGGGTTTAGGGTTTAGGGCATTGGGGTTTAGGGTTTAGGGTTTAGGGTTGAGGGTTGAGGGGTTGAGGGCATTGGGGTTTAGGGTTTAGGGTTGAGGTTTGAGGGCATGGGGGTTTAGGGTTTGGGGGTTGAGGTGAGAGCGTATTGGGGTTTATGCTTGGGGATTTGGGTGCGGGTAGGTCAGGTGACGGGCAGCTGGGGATCCAAGCAAGCTTGACGTCTTTGTTGGGAGTAGCTTCTTGTCGGACCCTAAACCCTAAATCCTAAAAAAAACCCTAAACAACCCTAATCAACTCTAAACCCTAAATAACCGGCACTGGGACTTGGGTGGTGTAGTTTTTTTCGTGCCATGTTCACGCGCAAGGAAGACGGCGACCCCGGGGGCAAGCCAGCGCTACCAGATGGACTTCAAGCAGCGAAGTCTCTTCATAAGCATTTAGGCTGCAGGTAGTCCCTCTGGCTTTTTGGTCAGCATGAGGCAGAAGAAGATGGGACTGTTATGATTCGTATTGGTGAGTTTATCATGTTAAACAGTTTGTTCTTTTGCCAGCAACTGTTCACAACATGTAAAGAAATCCTTAGCCTTGAAAACCTAACCCTTGAGCCGTTAACACTGCCCGTGTTTTTTGAGTAAAGAACCATGTTCTTCAATACCCACTGTGCAAGCTGTTCGTGTGATTTCAAGCCTAGTCAAGTTTTTCTCTGAGGGATACTCTTTGTTTTTGGCCTATTGGGGAGGTGAGGTTCTAAACTACAGACAAACCCTAAACCCTAAACCCTAAACCCTAAACCCTAAACCCTAAACCCTAAACCCCCTGACCCCCCAAACCCGAACCCAGAACTCTTACACTCCGCGCCCCTCAACCGTAAAGTCAAGCAAAGGAGCCCAAGCACAAGACCCCAAGCGTTTAGGGTTTAGGGTTTAGGGTTTAGGGTTTAGGGTTTAGGGTTTAGGGTTCCCGGCATAGTTGCGCAAACCCTTTCAGCCGGAGCCTCCAGCACTATACGAGTGTGAATATTCATCAGAGGCCTTATTCCAAGTGCTCCTTCAAAGCCCGAAACCCTGAGTCGAAGTCCACATCATCTCCGCCCCCAAGTTTTGAAGCCCTAAACCCTGAATTCAAAGCCGTGGATCCCTAAACCTAGCTGGATTCGCAAGACACGGCGTTGGGGAGCAAAGCCTGGCCCCTAAGTACTAACCACCTATTCCCCCGCAGCGTTCGAGCCAGAAAGTTGGCACAAGGATGATCTTCGTGCCCTCAGGTTTGCGGATTAGGTTTTGGCACGGGGCTTAGGGTTAACATGTCGGGAAATCGCAGCACTAATCATCCTTAACCCATGTTTCAACGTTCGATCTAGTTTGTCGGTGGCAGTTTGGGATCTTCAGCACCCAAAGTCGGCTTCTTCTGTCAATCGTAGCCCTTGCTTACCTAAACCCTAAACCCTAAACCCTAAACCCTAAACCCTAAACCCTAAACCCTAAACCCCTACCCTAAACCCTAAACCCTAAACCCTAAACCGTGGCTCAATATCTCCGACTCTGAGCCCCCAAACTCGACAGATCCGATCCTAAGCCTTATACACACCTTATCAGATCCTACATCCTATGGGGGTCCATAGCCCTAAACCCCAAACCCTAAACCCTAAACCCTAAACCCTAAACCCTAAACCCTCATTAAAGCTCTCAGTCTCTCTTCGAGGGACGACGAGGAGGGGCCACAGAGCCCTGGCACAACTGTGCAAGAGACGGATCTGGACTCACAGGAGACGGATATGGACTTCGAGGCCTGGGCTCTGTTTTGAGAATTTGGCTTAAGCTTCGATATAAACCCTTAGCCCTGAGCCTTCAACCACCTTAACCCGACTTCTGGTTCTCTCAAGGGGACCTTATTGAGCAGGTGTATATCCTCAAGGGTCAAGGATCCCTAATCCTAACTCCTAGTGTTGGGGCAGGGGCTCTTTAAAGGGGAAGGTCTGAGGAGAATCTCGGGTCGGTACTGTAGGGGTTCAGGGTTCAGGATTCAGGATATGGTTCACGGTTGAGGGTTCATTGCCGGTCTGGGGTTTGTGGTTGTGTCTCCTGCACTGGTTGGGGGCATAACTTTAACAAAGGGTTCAGGGTTTGTGAAATACCGTGGTCAGTTGTGGGTCGGTGTAAGTTTCGGGGGTGCGGCTGTGGGCTGTCGAAAGACCTAAGCCACATGTCCGAGAAACGCTGCACGTTAAATCTTAAGACCCTCTATGACACCATGACCATAAACCCCTAAACCCTACCTCAAAACCCCGGACCTTGTGTCTGGTGTGTAAGGATGTAGACTCAGGCCGCAGTGTGCAAGGGACCATCCGGGACTTGTTCTGGTTCTTCGTTGGGGCGAGTTTTTCTCGGAAGCTGGAACTTGGGGGTGAGTCTTTGGGTTCCATGTTCGCCAACAAGGAGCACAGCGACTTCGTGCAAAAGATCTGCAGCACGCCAACTGAACAGAAGCCGTCGCTGCCAGATGTACCCTACACGGAGAAGCAACACGGCTGCAGATTGCTTTTCTGGTTTTTCGTCAGCTTGAGGTAGAAGAGGAGGATGCTTACCATTACTTCTTGATATGATGATTCTTTATGAGTCGGCTTTATGTTAAAACGCGTTGAGAGCTGTTTATAACAAGACTGACGGTGTGCCACTCTTCTCGTTTTGCGTGAGCTTCCTTGTTGGGGCCAGGATTCTTGGATGCATCCTTCCACCCCGAACCGTAAACGCGAAGCTCAGCGGCGGTCCACCGTAGTTCCCAAAAGTCCAAGCTCCCCCGAAACCCCAAAACCTGAACCCACATCCTGCACCCTAAACTGTCAGTGTTAGGATTTAAGGCTTATTGCTTTGAACCTCAACCTCAGCCTGCTTTTCGTCATTGAATCTCTGGTTCCTTTTCTTCCACAATGCTCAGTCTCCCAGAACTTAAAACCCAAAAGCCCGAAGCCCTAAACCTTAAGCCCTTGGCCAAACACGTGTTTTTGTGCCCGAAAAGGTCTGGGTTCGAAAGTAGTGTCGTCTCTGGGGAGTTTTGTCTTCAGCATTCTGGGAAGGGAGGGTTGCAAGGGCCCCTAAAGCCGGTAACCCGAAGCCACACCACAAGATATGACCAGCTCCGCGAGAGACTGTGCCCTGATTTTTACAAACCCGCAAGTCCCTGAACGTCACTGGGTTCACTAGACACGGCGTTTAGGGTTTAGGGTTTAGGGTTTATGGATTCACAAGACACGGCGTTGCGGGGCTCGGCTCCTGATCCCCTGCAACGGAGCAGTCCTGCTTTGGCCTACTCACAAAGTGCCCTGAGCTTTTCAATACCCCCAACCACATTCCCAAACTCGACGAATCCTAAGCCGGACAATCTTGTACAACACTACGACCTATAGAAATCCTCATTGAAGCCGCCAGTGTGTTTCGGAGGTCCGACAATGCTGAGGAGGGGCCAAAGAGCCCTGCCTCAACGGCAGACGACACGGGCGATGAGGCCTGACTTCTGCCGTGTTTTTGGGTTCCAGGTTCGCTAAAAGTTAAGCCGTGTCGATGATGTAGAGGTCTAGATTTCAGGGTGTATTGTTTGGGCTTCGTGGTTTAGGGCTTCGGGTTTCTTGCCGTGTCTCCTTCAGGGGTGCAAGCCCGACCGAGGTCGTGATGTGAGAAGGATTTGCAAAAGCTCTTTAGGGGGTTCAGACGTGCTAGAAGGTTCATGGGTCTGAACGCCACCTTAAACAACCCTAAACCCTAATCTCAAAGGACTCTCAACCTTAACCTCAACCCTGCTTCTGAGTCTCACGGCGTACGCGCAATACTGTTCCCAAGTATTTGTTTTTGGGGTTTTGGGGTTCGAGGGACCCGAATAATAACCCCGCTTGCTTGGAACCTCCTTCCTCATACGGTCTCACTTCCAACCTCCCCCCACCCCACACACACCCAAAACAACCCTAAACCCTGCACCCTAAACCCTAAACCCTTACCCCCCAAAGAATCCTGGTTGCTAGGCTTGACAGTTTTAGGGCTTTGGCGTTTTAGGGCTCTTGGGTTTGAGGGTTTGCCGGTCCTCTGGCCTGGAACGCTTCAGGGCTTTAGGAGGTTTAGGCTTTAGGGCTTTAGGATGTTCAGGGTTTAGGGCCTTAAGAGGTTTAGAATTTAGGGCTGTAGGATGTTTAGGCTGTAGAGCTTCAGGATGTTAAGGCTGCAAGGCTCATCATGGGGCTATTTCGCAATACGAAATTCCCAAATTTCCAATCGAGTAGAGCCCCCAAGCCTTGTTTTGATTATTACTATTTCTGCCATTAGATTTTTTTATGGTTAGTTGAATAGAGAGACTGTTTGGGGTGTTGGAGCTAACAGACGCGAGCCGAACTGGAAGCACACCCAAGCATCCTACAACAGAAAATCTCAACCCGCACTACCCTTGAATCTAGCCTTGTGATCACCATGTCCTTGCAAGGCCATTGAGACCAAGATCACTTTGAACATCTACGATGTGTCTCAAGCCGAGTCCGTGCCTGGGAGTCGTTTCAGAAGTGGCGTTTTCCAACAGATTCGGTACATTCATTTTCGTGCTATGCATTCGCTGGTCTCTGATGCCTTTGACGGCAGAGCGCATGGGAGAAGGCGTGAAGAAGAGTTTCGAACTAGATCAAGAGACCGCAATGCGCTGTTGTGCGGGATCTCGAGTTGCGCATCTTGCCTGGCATGGTTTCGGCACTGCATTGAATCTCCAAGGTGCAATGGGTCAATGCCTTTTTCGCCAACCAGTATGCTCCTGTGGCCAGGCCGCGTTTGAGCCAGCAGGGCACGTAGCTCGGGGTGCACCAGAGTGGTTCCAATCTAGCGGTTGCTAGAATCCGAGGTGCAGCTCTTCGGCGCCTTCCATGTGGGGGTGCAGGTCGGAGATGAGGAGTGCCTGGGCTGCGGAAGTAGAGCGAGTCGAGGTTCCAGTGGATGTTGAGATTGGGTTTCGGGATCTTGGGTCCTGCTTGGAGACCCTTGGCCTTGCCTCACATGATGGGTGCGTTTTCTGCCGTCGCTGAGGGGTTGCTCTGCTGACTTTATGGTTTGAGAGGCCTTGTGTAGAGCTCAGGAAAGCGAAGGCGTCACGAAGACTTGTGTCGAAGGTGTGAACATAGAGATCATCACTTTGGAGTTCGCTGCAGAGCTTATGCCTTTCAGGGCCTCGAAGAGCGGCATTTGCAAACACACGCCGAGACTCGAGGAAGCTTCAGATCTTCGGACTTTCGGCTTGGTCTAGGGTTTGTCGGTTGGCTCGTGCCGTGAATCTGGAAAGGTGGGCTTTCGGCGCCACTCCGGCTGGAAGCGGCGTCTGCCGCCACAAGCCGCGTGGTGCCGAGCAGCACCACTTCCGGCAGAGCCTGGCAATGTGCCTCGGCAGTGAGAAATCTTGAGAACCGAATGTGGAATTACAGCTCTGAGGTGAGAACAATGCAATCTGTAGCATCTGTGCCTCAACCGTCTATCTAGTCTTGCATGGAACTCAAGAATAAAGGAGCCGGCGCAAAAGGGGACGCCCGATCGTAGCAATACCTTGGAGAACTGCAATTTACATTCCGTTGGGTCGTGCCAGATCATCCGAAGGTTATGTTCTTCTCAGCAAACCCCTTGCTTCTGCAATCGCTTTTGCAACTTGTTCATGGCCAGCCAGTGTCAGCCGATGTGAAATTCTGAAATTGCAGCCTGCGTCCCGGGGGTTTGGGGCTGGAGTGTTCGGAGCTCTGGAAGCCGTTGTGGATGCAGGGTGGGCTTTGCGCTTCGGCTTGCTGCCAACACCAGCCCACTTACGTATCCAGCTTGCATGTTTTTCAAGCAGTGAGTGCTCGTTGGAAGTCGGGAATATGCCAGTGTTGGTTGAAACGAAAAGGTAGGGGCTATTGAGGCGGGTTCGCGCATAATTCCCTGATCTGATGCGAGGGGCTCAACGACGCTTTCCAAGCAACAGCTGAGCGTCATGTACACACTCCTCGATGCTCTGCTGCAACAAGCGGGCTTCGATGCTTCGACAGCCTTTGCGTGAGAGAAGAGGTTTGTTTTTAGCCGGAAACGCATGGTTGCAAAGATGTGTGGAAGCTACAGGAAGCCACCTGGTCCGGGCCTGCTTACAATCTGTGGCAGAACAACTGCATCCATTTTGCCAGCGAGGCTGGGCCACAGATTGTTTCCCCTTTCGCGTTGCTGACCGGGGGATGCCTGACGTCTTGCTGTGTCACAAGTTACAACACATGCCGCATCCAGCCTCGCCACAGAGTCGGCCCCACAATCACATATGCTGGTAGGTACTTAGACTTCTCGATGCTGGAGACGTTCCAGCGTGGGTCAATCGCCTCTTGGCGTGGAGAAGTGCTTTAGTCTGTATGGATTTGGAATGGGGTTCCTGTTCGGAGTGTCGGAACCCGCAGGGGGTTTTCAACGTGTTTGGAGATGTGGTGCCCTCTCAACCCTTTCAAGCCATTTCAATCACTATCCAACTCCTCAACGTTTGCAAATCCCTCGCGGAATTCTTTCCTGGGTTTGCGGTTCGTAGTCGTTTCTAGCCCCCTCCGTTATTAAGTCCGCGTAACAGCCTGTTGAAACCCGACGTCCTTTACGTTGAACATCTTTGAACCCGTCTAGCGCTTCTTAAGAGCAACCGTCAAGCATCCTTAAAAATGATTTGAAATCTTATCTTACACGCCGTGCCCTTGAATCCTTCTTCAACTACCCGTCAGCCTTTCGAGCTTCGTGAGAAATAGAGGCTTCGGTTCCAATGCTAGTTCCCCACCCCAAGAGTTTTCAACGGGACCAAGTCCCAAATCGTTCAACAGACGAAGTTGTTCGGCGCAAAACGAAGCTTTCCAAAAAGTTTTCTTAAACGAAGCTTGGTTCCCTCAAGATGCCAGACAAATGCGGGTGCGATCTGTTACCGGAGGGCGTTGTTGTTGTCAAGCAGATGGTGATGGTGCAGACGGGGGGTCCGAGTGGCTGCGGGATGCTGCGGGCATCGGCTTGTCGTCACTGTGACGTTTGAGGGATGTACCAACTTAGCGCTATTTAGTATTATGAGCTGTCATTATGCACAGGGCTTGAGCTAGTACTTGTCGTGGGCTCGTTGCAGGCAGCAAAGGGCAGTGCAAAGGGCCACGATTAGCTCAGCCTGGACTTGCCAGACTTGCAGGGACCCGTCTTTGTCGTGAGAGTTTTTTTTGTCATAGTTGGGAAACATTTTATACTTTTTGGCTACTTAACCCCATAAAGAATAGAAGTTTACATTTAGAACACTATATCCCAACCATGAGCCAGTGATGTAACCTGTACGATTCGGTAGGGCATGGGCTGTCTTTGTTGTGAAGTTGGAGGGACATACCAGAGCCAGAGAGTACGATTTGTTACAGGCAGGCTGTTTCGCTTGTTGCACCCTCGTTGCATGGGTTGAAAGTTCGAAAATGCCAGAGAGCCAGGGGTGCGATTCGTTGCGGGGGCGCTTGTATCGTGGGTTTGATGCTGTGCGACAGCCAGGCGGTGCGACTTCTGGGGGGTATGGGTTTGCCAAAAATATGTCCACTTGCCCACTTTTGTTGGCTTTGTCTGATTGCCGAAGCCTCAGGACCCGCGAGGCTGGTCTCTTCGCTCGGACAGGCTGGGCATTCAGAGATTTTTGCGGATCCGTGTTTAGGTATGTTTCGGTTTGAGGTTTGAGGGTTAGGGTTTAGGGTTGAGTGGGTTTCAGTATGTTTAGGTGTTTTAGGTTTGAGGGTTGGGGTTTAGCAGGTGTTCAGGTTGGAGGCGGCTTTAGGTCTAAGGGGAGGTTTAGGGTTTACGGTCGAGTCTTTGGAATTTTTGGGAGGTTTAGGGTGCCAGTACGGCCTGTGGGTTTGTTTGGCACTGAAGACCGTTCCCAAAACAACTGTGCCGGGCCGACTTCCCTTAACAGCAAACTTGGCGAGCCACGTCCTTTTTGTTTGCGCTGCCTGCTCCGTTCCCATTGTTGCGCAAACCGTGGCTCGTCGCAGCAGCTGCCCACCGGATCATTGAAGCAACGTAGTGCGGCTGTTCCGAGAAAACACAACATGTCAGGTCCTGCCAGCCAGTCTTGGCCCCTTGCGTTTCCAGCCGAGCATCTGCAGGTCGGTCTAGTTACGAACGACACAACACATCGGAAGACCTGCCCACGAAATTCCGACATACTAGGACTTGAACCCGGCTGAACGTTAAGGATGCCCTGTTTCGAGGCGTTGAACACACTGCCAGAGCCGCCGATGAGATCCCAGTACTTGTGATGAACAGAAGGTGCCGTGCCTGCAAGCCTCGACCGCGCCAGTAGAATCTGAAGATTCAGGTGGAAGGCACGCTTATTCCAACACTGCATGTCGCTATTTTCTAGTTGTCGTTAAACCCTGAGCCCTTGCTTCTGTTGTTGCTGTTGTTGTTGTTGTTGTTGTTGTTGCCCGGTAACTTCGAAGTACCCCCCAAATGCCGCAGTGTTTGTTCGACACATTGGGTGAGGTGACATAGTCTGTGCGTCGGGATTTGGGAAAGGTTACAGTGCAGAGCTCCGGGTTTCAGGTTTTATGGCTAACCAGGTGTCAGTGTCGAGGACATAGGTTTACGTTTAGGACGTTAGCTTAAGATGATGACACCGGTCGGTTTTGCTGAACCTGAGTCGCTTCTCCCAGGCACTGTCACCTGGACATCGACCACCCCGCGAAATGGAATGACAGCAATTCAGGATTTGCACGTGGAGTTGGTGCCTTTGAGCAAAGGCCAAGCTATGGCATGCCCACCATCATTCACGATCTAGAATCTAGACCTTTAAGGAGACTTGGCACTGGTACATGTTATCCTTACTATCGAATGTCTCCGCGACCTTACTTCAGAAGGGTCATGTCGGTGTTTCACACGAACGGGCCAAGGAGCGCAAAGCTGTATAAGCTCATGCGCGCTTGAAGCCTGAGTGGCAAACAACGTCTAGCTTGCGGTCCAGGCCTCATGCGAGATCAGCTGCGGAACAGTAGGAGTCCGATCGAAGAAGTTGGGACTTTCTCCGGGCCAGCATCCAAACTTGTTGCTTGCTGCAGGCGAAAACCCCACCTCTCTGCTTGGGGCTTTGATGGTTCAAAGGTTTGAGGGACTCTGCAGTGCTTTGGGCTGTCTGCAACCTGTTGCTCTGTGATCCATGACCGTGCGCTCATCACAGTCTGTCCGAAGCCGAGAAAGAATGTTTGGCAAGAGCAGCTTCCTCTGCTCTGGCTAGGCGCGTACTTTGCCAGCTCCCTCGGATGCCGTCTTCACTGTGCACGCCTTGGAACTGCTGGGGACCCATGGCTCCCAAACCCCAAATCGTAGCTCTCTTGAAGCAGGTTCAGGATTTGGGGTTTTGGGGCTGTGGTTGGAGGTTCAGCGCAAGATTTCGGGGTGATCTGAACCCGGAGCCCGCAACAGGATCTAAGCAGAATAAAACCTTCCGCACCACCATTATATTGGTTAAGAGGGGGCAGCTTTTGAACGGTTCCGTTTTTGGGCTTCTTCAAGGGCCGGGGGAGAAGGGTTCGAATTCAGTCACCAGTTGCTTCGATGCAGGCCCTTGACACTCTACTTGGTAAATGAGCTGCAGACTTGAAGCTTCTCCGCATTTACGCAAGGTCTCAGAAGCCTCGAGGGTTTTTTTGGGTTTAGGGTTGAGGATGGGAGAAGTAGAGTTCCGGGAGCATGCCAGGTTCGATGTCCATTCAAATAAGAGGCTCAGATGTTTGAGACCTAAGAGACTGCACAACTCAGCCTTATAGTGCAGCCAAAGCCTGAACTCTGAAACCCTCAACTCTGGGCAGTGGTTTTTGGGCCTTGTGGGGGGGTGCTTTAAATGTTTTGGGGCAAGCCGTGGTATAGTTCAAAGGCAGGTGCCAAAGTCAATCGCAGCCGTTGTTGGGGACGGGATGGTATCGTGGATTATTTTTGTGTCTTCAGATCCAGAGCCCCGAAACCCACTGCAGCCCAGTTGTGGATAAGCCCTGAGCCCTTACTTCTGTTGTTTTTGTTGCTGTTGTTGTTGTTGTTGTTGGTAGCACGTGCGTCTGCCGCCACGCGGGGTGGAGCAAATTCGGGGCAGGCA